AAGACTCGGACCTGCCTGTCTCGAAGCACCACTGTGCCTACAACATCAACAAGCGAGAAAGCAAGAAATACTCTGTTATTTCTTTAAAATCCGCACATCCACTCAAGTCCAGACCAAAATAAACATTTCATTTGCTTGTGTGCTTCGATTCGCCACGATTGATCCTACCGCTCCCTTTGCTGGCGTATAAACAAATTTCTATTTACTGATTTATTTCGATTTCTGTTTTTTCGACTTTTCCTATTTATTTCTAATTTTACATCCTTTAGCAGCTTTATCGACAATGTTGCCTGTCAGGGCTGGCCTGCAAATTTGTTGGTTTTCAACCGAAATCAAACAAATTAACAACTACAACACTTGTGTCAAATTTGAGGTTATGTAGCGAGCAGTTTGGCTTAGCAATCGCAGTCGCCACAGCACTCGCCCTGCTACTTTATTGGCATTTGCACAAATACAACTAATAGAAAGTTTAGTTGTCCAACGATTTGCCGGCGACAACCTATTCGACTACGGTAAAATCCACTCACCGTTACATTTTGTTATCATCCCGCTGACAGACAGCCTGGCAAAGTTCCGATTTCTAAATTAGTAACTTGTCGGAAAAGTAGCTTTTCCTGTTGTAACCAATTCGCTGTTTCATGGCTGTCATTTCGGTTTTTTTTTGTTTTTCTAAAAAAATGCTATATTTAAAATAAAATAACAGTAGCTGTAGACTTTCAAAGTTCAAGAATTTTTATTTATTTTTTTAATTTTACTTTCATAAAAAATTCAGTGCAAACCATAACCGATGTTAAAAATAGCAGTAGCTGTACTTTTAAAGTTCAATGATTTTTTTTTTTTGTAATTTTAGCTTTTAGTTTTCTAACTAAGCAACTTTCAATACAACTCCGCGAAAATAGTTCTTCACATAGATTACTTTACACATACACAATTTCATGCACTTTTATATTCGGCTATTGCTTTTGAAAAATTTTAAATTCCCTTGAATCTGCGAAAAAACGTGTCTGGTGGTGAGGAACATTTTTTGGCTTAAAATTATCACAAATCGAAAAATCAAAAAAAAATATTATTACAATACAAGTAGACGAGTACAGATAAGAAAATACTAGACAAAAATAGAATTATTAATATATTGTAATTATCTTATTCCTTAGATCATTACTGGCAAATATATGCCGGACCAACTCTAATTTTCAGAGAATATTTTCAAATATATGTACATTCAATATACATACATGCATATATGAAAAACCAAAAATTAATTTGCAAAATTCAGCACTGAAAATTACCCCTTAATTCATTTACCACTATACTCAAATCAAAAAGTTTTTACCAAATTCAAGTAAAGTTTTGATAAATACTAAGAGAGCTTGGCCCTATTTCCCTCAAAGTGTAAAAAGTGGTATATGCTGTTATATCGTCCAGGTCTTCGTATCCAAAATCATCTACAATAGATATTTGTTACCCACATTTTTATACTGATGTAAATGTAAATAATGTCAATTATATACGTTTTAAGATCGCGTATTTTTAATTTAAATTTTATCATAGTTTCTTTGCATAAAAAACTGTTTACTAAAAGAACAAATATGTTCTTCCAAGTGAAATATTAAACGTTAAGCGCTTTAGCTGACGATCCATAGTTAATAATTCACTAACAAAATTATTCAGGTTCAGCCGGTTCTCAGCATTTTTTGATGGATGTTAATATAGGTTCATCACAGACGGTGCTTATTCAATAGTTAAATGCCGATATCATCGAACGATGCCCTAAAATGTTGGGCATAGTTGATATTCATTTCAAGTGTAAAATAATAAATTGTCCGACATCCCCTTCTTTGTGGAAGTGCTTAGACAATTTAAACAGAATATACTATAATAAAGCATACCTTAAGAAAATAGCTAATAAAAAGTGGATTATCAGATCTTTCCTATTTTGTTCCGTTGTAAGTATATCGCTAATCCACCGAGACATTCCATTTTAGGAGACTATGATTACTACTATTACTAGATTTGGTGGGAGAATACTCAAATAAGTTTCGACTTTAGAGTAGAGAACAGACTTAATAGTGGTACTAAAACAGTGGCTATACTTTTTATACCCTGAACAGGGTATATTAGGTTTACCATGATGTTTGTAACACCCAGCCTGACCCTGGGATACCAGGTATCAGATACCCTATAAGGTATCAGATACCCTACCCCTTGACAAGATATCTTCACGAAATTTGGCATTGGTTATTGTCCATTCAATCTGAAGAAAGTATTCAGATCGAGTCACTATTGCATATAGCTGCCATATCAATCATTTGTACGGAATATTTTCTGTTTGTGAAGGTTATTATATTGTACTTTGGGTAGAACATTTTTTCTTGTTTAAATTTCTTTTTCTTTTTTACTTCGATGGAACTGACCTTTACACAATATTATTTATAATAAGTAAGGATGGGCTAAGTTGCACCCGGACATTTTATACCCTTGCAACTAGCAAGAATCAAAGCCGTGGATATACTTTCAAGTGTTGGCAAAACTTCATATTAAGAAATGTAGCGAAAATAATCAACTTCATCGTTTGACGAAATAGTGAATGGCTAATAATCAAATTTGGTAGTATCATATTACCTTACCTAAGCGTAAATTATACTAAAATCATTGGGGACATAGAAATGAAAGGGCTGATTGCATTCGTTTTTGACATTGTTAAGGTATATTTGAGATCTTATTTTCAAGCAATTTTATAAATATATAAATATTAACATACGATTATAAATGTAGTAATGTCAATGGATCGTGAATATCAGGTATAAAGGACTAAGGCAAGTTTACGTTCGATGTTATCCATTTTAGGCACAAAGATACACTGTTATTAGAAAAGCACACTTTTTCAATTTCATTAAAATAACTAGCACATCGGTCGATATATGCGCTATTAAGTCAACTGTAAGTTCGAAAATCTTTATATAGGTATATGGAAATGAAACAATTTTTTTGCAAAAGGTCAGCCATAGCCTCTGGGGTCCATATTTCCGATATCTAGGGGCGTGAATAGTTATGCCCGATTTTGACAATTTTTGTACCTGAGATGGCATACTTTAAATGAAATATTCGTGCAAATTTGTATACTATTGGACTGTGTTATCTGCGAAGTAGACGTAGTTACTGTCCGATTTCGGCCATTTTCGCACTGTAACATGAAAATGTCAAAATAATCGTATCTACCAAGCATGGTTAAAAATGGTGAAGTATATTCGGAGATATGTGATTTCTCCTAAATATGGGGGTGCCACGCCCATTGACCCATTTTAACTCCTGCTGCTACAAAGCTTTCTTGTGTTAGCGCAGTTTTAACAGTTTTTAACCAAACCGTTATATGGGGAGAGGGCATGGTTATCACACTATTATTAACATATGACAAGAGAAGAAAAATTAAACGTCTTTCTCTATTTCACCAGGAAGAAGGAATTGCTGGTATAAGAAAAACTGCGACTTTGAAACTGGATAAGAATATTTTCATCAAAATAATAATGAACATTATTTTAACACACAGTAAATGCGAGCCGAAAATCAAAAATCAGGTTTGGGCATAACTGAATATTACAGAATAAGTTTCTCAAATCCATTTATTACATAAAAAGTTTAACAAATAAATTCATCGACAGCTCGGAGCAGTATTTAAGGTCTGAGTCATAAACAAAAACGCAAATCATGAAATGTTCACTCTTTCTTATATATGTAAGTATATTCTTGATATCAATTTTTCTTTATTTTCATTCCAAAAATATTCTCTCATTTTGACCTTGAGCTATTTATGAAAGCGAACTTTACAATTTTTTGCGTATTAATTATGATGCATATTTCGAACACGCAAATAGACCATTTAAGCTGTTTGAATACATATAGAAAATTTAATTCCCCGAAACCACAATTGGCCCAAATTCGGCGTTTGTGGATAACAACGCAGATCATGTGTGTGTGTATGGAGGCGGCAAAAAGTACGCCAAAAGCGAAATTGGTGTCACGCGAATGTTTGATAAGCCAATGGAGCGCGCATTGTCACCGCCAGCGGCTAGCCTCTGCATGTGCGACTACCCATACATACACATATATACATGTATGTAAAGATGTGTTTGGCCGCGTGCAACTAATGTCAACGAAATTCGCGAAACCAACACATCGGCACTTGGCAGTTAGCAGCGGCCATATGAATGAATGAATGATGCCACCAACGCGACCGCATAGATAATATTAACAACGCCATTTTGCGGTTTCATACAAAATTTATAATGACCAAATAATAATTTATACCAACACCGTACTGCATAAAGTGGACCAACCACCAGCGGCCACACACATATATACGTAACACGATCCAAGCAAATAGTATACCTTGGGAAATTACGCACCCGTTGGTAAATAGAGGCGAGAAAATATGTGTGTGTATATATATATTTACATATATAGTATATACGTAAGGAAGCTTATGTATTTTAAAAAGCTCAGTAGTAAATCGGACTGTTATCGTGAAGTGCATCCGACGTATTCTGAACTAACTTTATTAGCACTTAGAGAGTGTTGTCTTATAAAAGCTATATGAGAGCCAATGAAAGGGTCTGAACCGACTTCGGCTATTTTTTAACACGTATTATGCGCGATTTATGAAATACAAAGTTCAAAACCTTTAATGATAATTGAATGTTATTTTGTAAAGTCAAAGTTATAATCGAATTCATCAGAGTGTCAAACTAATTCTAGAGTAATATAACAATTTTACTAAAATTTTCAGATGGATGGATAAACAAACAGAAGAACAGACGATGAACAGGTGCACGAACGTTTGAATGAAGGATGGATGGTGGCATGGAAAATTAAACGGATCAGGATGGACGAATAGATGAACAAAGTGATGAAGCAATAAACGGATACACTGGACGCGGATGAATGTACACACAGTTGAATGCTCGTTTCAGATAATCAACACATGAATGGGTGAATGTATAAAAATGTCACGTGATGAACAAATGTACGGACAGATGGATGAACGGATGGATGTACGGCTGACAACTTTACATAATGAAACGATGTACGGTCGCATGGAAGATTGGACTGTTGGACTATTGGAAAGACGGAAGAAAGAATGGATTAACGGACTGACGGATGAAAAAACGAGCGGATGTACGGGCGAACGCATGTATGTATAGACGAAATAATTTTTCACTTAATGAATGAAATTTTCACACGATGAATAAATGGATGCTCGGAGGGATAGACTAACGAAGTTGCACATAATAAACAGATAGAGGGTCTCTGTGACGAACGGACGGATGAAAGGATGAAAATTTCACATAATGAATGAAACATTTAAATAATAAATAAATGGACTACCTCATGGAATATTAGATGGGTGAAAAGACGAATGGATAAACGTGCAGAGAAACGGACGAAGTTTCATATAATGAATAGATGAAGAAAACTCCATCACATAATGATTTTGGTTTCACCTTCGTCGACGAAATACGTTTAATGAAAACTTAGTTGAATTGATAGGCGCCGTCAGAGTATAAAAAGAATATGATTTCTTCCAGGTCTTGTCTTATACAAAACTATATGCTCAGACCATATTTGTGCAGAGTTCGCTCCTTTATTCAAATTACAAGCAATTCTCCATTAATAGGATATTACCAGAAACGAGAAGGGAGCGATAAAGCAGTGCAGATTGAAGTTCAGTAAATTCATTGTTTTTTTTTTTGCTTTTTTTATCCTGCCCCAAAGGCGCCACATATCATCATATGTAGAAAAACTGAAATACAAGTAATATAGATCGAGTGGCTATCGAAAAATGTATAGCTTCATGTCTTCCACTAAGTTCAAGCTTTTCACAAAGCGACCAGCGAGTAACTAATTACTTTATAAAGCCCACCAGATTTCTGCACTGCCTTATCCCATTCATATTTGTATACAACCTTATAACATGTGTTTAAATATAAATATTTGCGTGTGTGTTTATCATCTGCGCCACAATTATCCCCACTGCATTTGCTTATCGTGGTGTTGTTGGTATGCGCTGCGTCGCTGTGATAAACGTTGGTAAATCGCAATTTAAGCGGAAATAATCATGCTTGACAATTTCACATAATTTTCGCGTGCCAACTCTCCAATGCCCAAACACGCACACGCATACACACATATGGGCGCGAGCTTATAGGCACGGCACGGACTGATGCCGCAGGCATTGTTGACGATTCTGTCGCAAAGGTAATATGTGTGTGTACACACACACACACACACACACAAAATTATATGCATATGCGCTTCACTGTCCTGATTACACATTCATCGGTCACAGGGGACCGACTGCCACATCTGCCGCAGCTGCTGCTTCCCGGTGGCATCATTTTGCGCCAATGCTGCCACATTCGCGCGCACGCTGCCGCACTGCGGCGACCACCTCCGTGCCAATTCGAGCACAAACATAGCGCACATATACACACAACTGTATATTAGTATTTGCTAACGATGCTGCATACAGCGCCCCCTGATTTGGCGTGCCTTTTTAATCCTTTTTATGTTCAGCTGCGAAAAGTATAAAAAATGTTGCGGTGTTGTTAATGACGCACGCCAATGATTTACTAAAACGAATGGACCGCACACCACCCGTCACCGACAGTTAACCTGCTAAAATTGGACCCTTCAGCACCACCGGCAATGATCGAATACCGTCGACCTTGGCACGCGCGCAATGCAAATACGAAAGCACCAACATAAATTAAGTGTCATTTTAACATCCGGGATTTCGCTGGCACTTATACATCGAAATTTCTGTATGTTTAAATAATTATGTCACAAAATAAATTTATTTGTTGCGGCAGCTTTAATATTTAAATCGAAAAGTATGTTAGAGCTGCGTGACCAATTTACTAATAAATAATATTTTATTTGAAACTTTGTTAAATCGTTTAACAGGAATAACCTACGTTTATTATAGACTAAGGACTAATCTTATAATATGAAGGCTATGTTCCTTATGTTATGTTATGTTATGCTGAGTTATATAATGTTACATTATATTAAGTGGTTATTCTAGTCTAGAAATTTTAAAATATATACAAAGATTTTCTTATACATATATTTTGGCAGTTTACATAAATATAAAAAAAAAAATATTTCTCTAAAAGGATTTTTCAAAATTCAAATTATTTTCAAAGTTATAGTTATAGTTTTAGTGTCGTTGCAACTTGGCCCCATACTTTTTTTCCAAACTGTCTTTTTCAAAACTATACCCACGATTTCTTAGGTTCTATTTAACCGATTTACCTGAAATTTAAACAAAGTCTTCTTTATAGACTTGTCCATTTACGAAACTAGCCATATCCTTAAGTTTCAATTTCCATTTTTATATTTTAAAAAAATTCGAAACAGTCAAAAAAAATTGTAAAAAATATTTTTTTCATGCACTCGCCGTTTCGTGAAAAAAAAATTTCCAATATTTCCGTAGTACCAGACATTGCGACATTATTCTAGATTAATATTTTTTTCTTTGGTTTTGTTTTTTGATTTCAAATGCTAGAAGGGTTGAAATCGTGTGTATGGTCACGTGCCAATTTTTAGAGACCCCACTTCATCAGCTGCTAGTTTTAGAAATTTTTAAGTTTTTTTTTATGTTTTTTATTTATTTTTTCTGTATTCTTGTAATGTTATGAAATAACTAATAAAAAATGTATAGTAAAAATATGAATTGCGTTTTTTACTGCACTTAAAAAACGCCTGTAGACAAGAATACACTCATAACTTAATTTATGTTTTATTATATTATATTTACAATAGTTATATTGTTAGATTTTTTAAAAATACGGATACATAAATTTTTCTTTAATCAAATTTACTATCAAACTAATGTACGAGTACACTTATATTTTTGATCTTATTTTTGCTGAGATATACTTATATACATAGATTCGTAAATAGACAAAAGTACATTTAGCGATTTTTATTTTTTTATTTCATGTCTTTAAGAATAGTAGGACCCTTATTTCTTTTCTGTTACTAAAAAATAACAGTTCTATATACAATATATATATAATAAAAAAATAAAAGCGCTCATGCTGCATAATGAGATTTTTGCTAAATATTTGTATATATTTGGAAATTTCGTACCTCTACTTTGACAAAGATTATAAAAAAAGGTTAACTTATTTTTGGATATCTCATTATAATATTATACAAATATTTATCACTCCAAAGGATATAAACAATTTATCTCTAAAAATTACGAATATAAAGCACGATTTGTTAAGTATTATGAAATGACTAAACTCAGAAATCCTAATATGGGAACTTTCTTCTATTTTTGCCAAAATTTGAAGCTCATAGCATATGCAATTAATATTTTCACAATTTGTGAAATTTAATGCTCGTGGTGCATTTATACAGTGCGTTATCACACTTGTACTAGTTTTCAGCATAACCGTTATGTGGCGAGTGGGCGTGGTTATTACGCAATTTTACCCATTTTAACAGTGTTTAAAAAAATACCATAGAGATTTCTTCTTAGTAAATTTGACTGATTTAGCTTCAGTGGTTTGGAAGATATGTACATTAAACCATGCAGGGTGGGGTCAAGACCACTTTCAACAAATTTTGAGCACGCAGGTGCAGCTCGCTACTGTGTTTTCTTGTACCAAATTACAGTTTTGTAACTTAATGCTTACTGCTTAGTAATGGCATTTTACCTGTTTTCGCTTAACGCCACTTTGTGGGCGTAGCAGCTGACCGATTCCGCCCATTTGCAATATCAACCAGTTTGGCTGCCAAGAATCGTGTGAAGTTTCACCAAGATATCTTAATTTTTACTCAAGCTGTTTTTAGAAATAAAATTTATTTCACTTTAGCTTCCGTTTAATAGAGGCTTTTCTAAAAGCACCGTATTTTCTAATATGACTTCAACTTTCAATTTCGACCAGCGGACAACAGTCTTATTTTTATTTCCTCTCAAGTAAATGAGAGTATATATGATGCAACCATATGAATATACTGTTACATTTAACAAACTTTTCCGGTATTTGTGTATTTGTTCAAACAAACTTCAACAACCTTTAGCGACACCTGCGTATTGACACTTAGTAGACATGTGTAATTTGTAGATCATTGAACACAATGTCCGGCATCGTACACGCACTTAACGGCACACATTTAAGCGCGTGGTATTGTCACAACAACACCACAGTATAACGCGAAGTGATTGCCAATATTGATACAGTAAGGCCCGGCCAATTGAATGCGTGACCGCGCCCTCTGCACGGCCGCCGTTATACAGGTCATCATGGCACTAACGCTCCATAAACATGCATAGATATAACGGATGTACCATGTGCATGGAGTACTCAATACATACCGCCAATGCAGAGCACAATTGTTGCAGAGTGCGAAAGGCAAATATTTAAAGCATCAGCTACGTTGTTGTGGGGTTATATTGGTTGCCAACAGCCACATTGTCGCGCCATTCAAAGCAGACAAATGCAGAATATTCGACATTTCGGGTCATTTTGCATCGCCACTATGGCATGCACGCAGGCAGACAGCAACGAGTAACTGTTTATTATCGGAGTTGTCATGGCGAGTGCAAAGTCCAGCCTTGGCCGCAGTTCACCAGCGCGTGCCTGACAAATTGCTAAAGCACGACGAATGCAGTGACAGCATCGGCAATTTGGTTTTGTTCGCTCGCATTTTAGTGTCCGTTATAACATTTAGCAAATTTTTACACACAAAATCAAAGCAGATAGGACATACTTAGATATATATTTACGAGTATATAGCCAATGAGATAATTTGCATGACAGTTGGTGATTTTCTGTTGACATTGAAAAACTGTGCGAGCGCAAGCATTGATAAGTCAATATAAACCTCCGGTGCCACATAATCAGGCTATGTTTAATGCGTGGAAGTTGTCATTTTTATTTAGAATATGGAAGGTGTATGAAAATCAGTCAAGTATTCTCACTGAAAGGGCGAAATAGACCATAGGTCGCGGTGCATGCCACTATTCAATCTATTCTCACTGAACTGCTGCGATAATCGATGTCAAAATTCTTAAAGTGTAAAACATATTTTCATTCAACTTAATTATAAATCAAGAACAAAATTGTTTACCTATAAGCCCCAATAAAATCAATTTTATG